ATTTTCACTGCAACTGTCAGAGCAAAGCAGGAAACAATACGTGGCACCACTGAGGAATCATCCGTGGAAGACCATTGGAACTCTCTGAAGGTAATTTTCAACGAAACGTGCTCAACGGTTTTAGGAAGAAAGAAGAAACAAGACAAGGAATGGCTCTCAACAGACACTTGGAAACTAATAGAGGAGAGGAGAAAAGTGAAAGAGAAAATGATTCAATGCAAAGATGGACAAGAGAAAGAGACGCTGAACTCAACTTACACAGCACTGGACAAAGAAGTGAAGAAGAGTGCCAGGAAGGACAAAAGACAATTCTACGACAACCTGGCTACTGAAGCTGAGAAGGCAGCAGGCAAAAGGGACCTGAGGACACTATATCAGATAACCAAGTCTCTATCCGGGAAGAGATCAACACAAGTGAAACCTATAAAAGACAGCCAAGGGAACCCAATTACCAAAGAAGAAAGACAGATTAAACAATGGGCGGACCACTTCAAAGGACTCTTGAACCGACCACCACCTACAACCCGTCCAGTAATACCAACAACAGCACGTACACAACTGCAAGTTGTCACCAATCCTCCAACGAAAACTGAAGTCATGAATGCAATCAAGCTTCTGAAAGCTGGAAAAGCAGCTGGACCAGATGGAATACCCCCGGAAGCACTGAAAGCGGACCCAGAAACGACGGCAGATATGCTGACTCCATTATTGCAAAAGATCTGGAAAGAGGGAAAGGTGCCTACTGACTGGAGGAAAGGTTACCTGGTGAAACTACCAAAGAAGGGCGACCTGGGACTCTGCAAGAACTGGCGAGGAATCATGCTCCTGTCGACGCCAAGTAAAATCCTGAGTCGCATCATCCTGGAGAGAATCAAGGACGCGCTGGATACAGAACTCCGACCAGAACAAGCTGGATTCAGGAAAGGCAAATCATGTTCTGACCAAATTGCAACTCTACGCATTATCATCGAACAAAGCATGGAATGGCAATCAAATCTCTACCTCAACTTCATAGACTTTGAGAAGGCCTTCGACAGCGTTGACCGCGAAGTAATTTGGAAACTACTCGAGTACTACGGCGTACCGCAAATATTCATCAACCTTATTCAACAACTGTACGACAACGGCACATGTCAAGTGATCCACAACGGAAAACTCAGGGAAGCGTTTGGAGTAAACACAGGAGTCAGACAAGGGTGCTTATTATCACCAATGATATTCCAATGATATTGTGGTGGACTGGATTATGCGTCAGACAGTGGGAAACGAGAAGACAGGGATATCCTGGACCGACGTGAAGAACCTAAAAGACCTGGATTTCGCGCGTGGATGATTTATGTTTGATGTCACACAAAATCGAAGACTTACAAGCAAAAACCGACAAACTGGTCGAAGAAGCAGCAAAGACAGGACTCCAGGTGAACATAGACAAGACGGAGGTCATGAAAATAACCAACCAACAACAGCAGCACCAACATCCAGTGCCAATCACCATCAACGGGAGGGATTTGAAAGAGGTTACTTCTTTCACTTATCTGGGGAGCATTGTCTCAACCACAGGAGGAACGGACGAGGATGTCAAATCAAGAATCGGGAAGGCGAGAAACACATTCATCAACCTGAAACCAATCTGGAAATCTTCGTCACTCACCATCAACAACAAAATTCGGATTTTCAATACAAACGTCAAGTCAATTTTGCTTTACGGATCAGAAACTTGGCGGGTCACCAAGAATATTTTCAACAGGTTGCAGACCTTTATCAACAACTGTCTTCGCTCCATACTGAAGATTAGATGGCCAGAAAGAATCACAAACAAGAAGCTATGGGAACAAACGAAACAGGAACCAATCGCCCAACAAATATGCCGGAGAAAGTGGAGATGGATTGGACACTCGCTGAGGAGGCCGTTGAGTGACATCGCGCGTCAAGCCCTCGAGTGGAACCCGCAAGGGAAGCGGCGAGTGGGACGTCCAAGGGTGACATGGAGGAGATCGTGTGAGGAGGAGATGAAACAGTATGGAATAACATGGACGCAAGTGAAAAGAACAGCAGAAGACAGAAGCAAGTGGAGACGTGCAGTTGAAGCCCTATGTTCCACTAGGAACCCAAGGGAACAATAATAATAGTAAATGCAGAACTTCTCGTGTAAAAGACTGGATTTAAGAAAAGCGAATCATGTGCGGATCGATCAAATAGCTACTCTACTCACCAGCATGGAATGGCATTCACATCTCTCTCTCTTTCTCTACTTCAATTTCATCGGTTTGGGAAAGGCCTTCGATAGTATTGAGCGCGAAGTAATTTGAAAATGACATAATTCTAAACAAAAGCACTATAGCGTGCCTTAAATCTGGATGAACCTGATTCAACAGCTTATGACAATAGCACATGTCAAGTGATCCACACGGGAAAACTCACCTAGTCGTTTGACGTGAGAATACAGGAGTTCGACAAGGCTGGCTGACTGCCTACTATAACCGATGATAGTATTGCTAATCGTGGTGGACTAGATTAATGCTGGCGACTGTGGGAAGCAAGAAGACAGGAGTACGTTGGACTGATAAGGAGACTCTAGAAGGCCTGGATTTCGCGAGTGATTTATATTTAATATCACACGAACTCGATGACCTACAGGTGAAAATCAACAAACTGACTGAACAAGCGTACAGCGAAGACATGGACACTCCAGATGAACATAGAGAAGACGACGGTGATAAAGGTAACCAACCAACCAACAACAACAACAACCAGCACCAATCACTAGAAACAGGATGAGTTTGAAGTAGGTCACTTCGTTCACTTAACTGACTAGTCAACATCATTTCAACTACAGGTAGACTGAGCATAGATGAGGTTGTCAAAGCCAGCCTGAATCGAAAAGGCAAGATACGCCTTCATCAATCTGAGTAGTCAATTTGGAAATCGTCTGCATTCACTCAGCCAGCCAGCATGAAGAACAACATTCGGATTCCGTTGAACACAAGTGTGAAGTCAATCAGTCAGTCACTTCTTCTATATGGGTCAAAAAATTGGCCAGTGCATCAAGAAAAGAATTTCAACAAATCACTGCAGACTTGTATCAACAACTGTCTTCTCTGGCTCCATAGTGAAGATCAGATTGTCGGCTGGTTGGGAAGAAATTTCATACATTTATTCCCCTTAATGAATTTGAACAAAGCAAGAACTACAGTTTTAGCAGAATAAAATGGTGCCATCTTTTATTTCGTTGCCTTCTCGTCAGCTGCTTACAGGGCAAAGACATTATTAAATGTATCTACAAAAACAATTTTAACATACTTGTACAGAGTTCATTTTAAACAAAAATCAATCGATCAATATATGCATACACTAATAATATATACATATATATATGCAATATTAAACACAATTCCGAAACAATAATAGTCATACACAATGGAAACATATCAGAATTTCGCATTCGGATGAAAGAGAGATGAAAAATATCCAGTTACCAAGGCAAAGAAAGACTAATAACCGCTTCTTTCTGGACACATAAATCAGGTTTCAGGCACTTGATGGAAATGGCTTCAGCAAACTTAAGGAGAATTGAGCTCTTTTGCTTATTGATAATTTTGAACGACTTTTCGACGTCCACCTCATGACCCGTGTCGAGGAGATGCCTGGTAATGGCACTGTTTAAAGCATTTGTTCCCTTCAGACGTAAGCTTTTTGGTACATGTTCACAAAATCGTAGATATGCCCTTCTTTCTGTTCTTCCAATGTAACTGCTCCTGCAGATACACGTAAATTTGTATATACAGTTGGAGTTAACATGAGAAGGATATCTATCGATTTTTGATTGCACCAAAGAGCAAGTTGTTTGATAAACAGGAACGAGCTTAGCTGCAGGATAGGCTATGGCTAGTGATGTGCTCAACCTTCTGTTGATCATCGCTGCAATGTTTTCACCTTTATAATCAAGCTGAAAGTAGATTGGCTTTTTTCCTACTGTGATTTGTTTTACATTTGTGACTTCAAATCTTCTATACTTGTTGATGAACCATTGCTCTTCAATATCTTTTCAAGAAACTCAAATTCTTCCTCTAATTTTTCTATGGAGCATATTCTCTTCGCTCTATAGTACAAAGTCTTGACTAGACCGCGCTTATAGCTATTTGGACAAAAGCTATTAAAATGTAAGTATTGTCCTTTCCATGTAGGCTTTCGATAAATTGACTTCTGAAGACTACAGTATTCTAGGCGTTCCATGGCAATGTCGAGGAAGTGAAACTTTCTGTCACTTTCATGTTCCAAAGTAAACTCAATATTGGCGTGTGCATCACTGAATAATTTGAGTAAGTGTGAAGCACTTCTTTGGGAAGAATTAGCAACAAGAAACTCCAGCAGTGAACGAACCAACAGGAAAGAACCTATTGCTCAATAAATGTGGCGAAGAGAATGGAGATGGACCGGACATACGCCACTGGGGAGACCATCAAATGACATAGCACTCAGTGCAGGCCAACCCTCGAGTGGAACCTGAATTGGAAATGACGTGTTGGGCGTTGGTCCGAAGGTGACGTGGAGGAGATAAGAGACTGTGGGGAATCGTGGGGCCAGATGAAGAGGATCTCAGTGAATTGGACAAAGTGGAGGTGTACTGTTGAAGGCCTATATTCTACTCGGGACCCATTGGAACAATAATAATAATAAATGTGAACAATTAGATTTAGTAACACCTTTTTTGTCCAAAATAACTATTCAGTTCACTAATTACACTTTGTTATCTTCCCTATTGTGTCTAAAAGTGCACCTCAACAACATAAACACTCGATATATAGCTTCGAAGTTTTGGATTTCAATTCTGCTTCAGCCTTTCTTCACCTTGGTCGTCTGAGGTGGTTAATATTTTCAACCCACATATATATATGTCATATTTTAATGCGTAAAGAACACATATATGTCGAGGGTGAACGGAACTGCTATATGTTACTTTTTTTCTTTACTTTTCTACCCTGTCTTCTTTTTCTTCTTAGCGTAAATCGTGGTTTTCAAGGTGTTATTGAGCGTTGGGGAATGAAAGGTGGCTGTGCTGGGCATGGTTCTACTAAATTTCATCGTAGAATGGGTAGTGCTGCAGGCTGTGGAGTAAGTACAATAATTAATAAGTATGATGAAGTGATTTAAAAAAAATACTATTTATCTATCTATCTATCGATCGATCTATCTCATTTTTACTCAAATCGTCCTTGGTAAATATCAATATCAATAACACCTTACATGGTGGTGGTGGTGTCTTCGTCATAATCCGAGTGAAATACTATCCATTCACATAGAGTAGAAGTGTTCAACTTTTTGATATGGTGTGCATAAATAAACAGGTTATCTAATTCACGAACGCTTTCTTTTCATAGTATATAATAATAATAATAATAATTTGCTTTATTCCAAAACAGTACTTGTGATACAGAATGGAATTCTCAGCATTTTTACTACAGTATTGCATCCAGTTAGTACATTATCAATAAATAGAATTCTACATAGATTAAGGAAATCTCAGTTCATTATGACAACAACATATTGGCATGTCGGTAGCAAAGCCAAAGTTGAACAGTGTTTGAAGGTGTTAGAAAAGTAGGTGCTGTCATATTTACTGGCGTAAGCGAGAGAAAGAAACAAAGCAGCACATAACGGAAAAAGAGAGAGAGAGAGAAAAGGAAAAGAAAGAAAGAAAATGTTGTACCTATAAATGATATGAGTTGGAAAGACGAGGTCCAGTTGTTCTACTGACTATTTAATGAATTATAGGTGTCACGCCTAATGCTTTCTTTATCGCACAGAACACGAGCTAAGTAGGGTATGGTTGAGTTTTTGTACTTGCTGGTGCGAGCATATAGTTTTCTATATAGGCTTCTGGTTTTGCCTGATGAGATGCAAGGGGAGAGTTGTGAATGAAGAGGGTGGTGTGAGTTAGATAGAATGGATTTAGCCCATTTTTCACATGAGTCCAAGTGCCTGTCAACCAGAATATTAACAAGCTGGTTAAGTGGCACGTTGCTTACCCTGCTGACAACCTTTAACATCCTGCGTAATAAGGTATAGTCTTTCTTCAGTAGCCCGGGAAAAACTAAGGGGGAACAATAGAGAATAATAGGCAGAATGCGAGAGTTAACGAATTGTAGGAGTAAGGGTTGGGTTATACCAGAATGTTTTAACTTCTTGATGTAGAAGGTAAGACGGAATATTTTCTTAGAAATCGCCAAGATATGAGACGACCAGGAAAGATCAGCAGATAGAATGACGCCTAGGTATTTAATTTCCGACTTGGTTTCTATTTCAGTGCCATCTATGTTGCACACCTCGTGAGAGCCAACCAGTTTGTTTAGGTCGGATTTATGCCTAAAGGTGAAATTGACTGTTTGGCATTTGGAGGGATTTAAGGTAAGACCGTTTTCCTTGGACCACTGGCTGATTTCTGATAGAAAGCCATTAAGTTTAGAGCAGTCACTTTGACATTTGACAGGTAGAGATACTGTCAGGTCGTCAGCATATTTGAAAAAATTGATGTTTAATTGTGTGGAATCAAGCTGTAAATCAAAATAAATAAAAATAAATAAATAAATGTCACCATAGATACTGAAATATCAATTTTTACATTTATGTATGTTACGTGTGTGCCAGTTTCAGTGTATTGGTTTGACATATATTTATGATTACACTGAAATTAGGACTTAGTTACCTGAAATAAGTCTTCAATGTACCAGACGATGAGACACTGTTTTTAGGGCTGGTGACATTTCCGATTTGCCCCTCAGACTGACTCACTGGCTGAAAGAATAGTGCTTAAACTGTGGTGTGTGATAATATTGACAAAATTTATCAGTAGTACATGTAGACGCAGATTGACAGATATTAGCCAAAATTGAAAACAACATTTTAAGTCAATGTCTACTACAGAAGTAGAAGTGTTTATTCCTCAAATCCGAATTCAGCTTACGTTGCAGTCAGGAAATGATCTTCTCATTAAACAACTGTTCTTCTCAGGGTCTAGCCTTCTGAAAATCAATAACCAACCACTCAGAACAGTTTATTATCTGTTGACCTGACCGTCCTTAAATGTAGCTCAGGTGGATGATTTGCAATTAATAGTGTTTTCTGGGTTGGTTGGTATGTTTTTCCCCAATAAAAATATCCTTTACCAAGTCTCGTATCTTCTCTCACTAAAAAACCAGTGAGTCAAAATACGAATAGCCCTTCCAAAAAGAATGCAAAGTCTGCTTTCTAAAAACTGTTTAGTCCTAATGAAAGGTGTTCACTTTTTGACATCACCCAACTCGTTATTTCGGAATAATCCTACTCCTATGTGTGTTCATCTTATTATGTTAAACATGTTTAAATCAAAATATTACACTCTATATTTGTAATGTTGTAATAATATTTGTTTGTTTAGCATGACAGCGAAACGTTTTACTATTAAAACTTCAATTCGTTAGAACAACTTGATTTGACTATAAAATAAATCTTGTTTGGAAAACCCATTCTATAAATAGTGAGACAACATGTTCGGAGTACTCATTCAGTGGCAAATGATTTTTGGTTTTATGCACATAACATGGAAGAACTATGCAGTTTTATTGGATATGATTGACAAATCACAAAGAGTGAATACATGCATCTGCGCTGTCATTGAGCCATCTCACCAATTGTGTCTCCAGCCGCCGTCGTTGGTTCTTAGCATCCCGAGGATCTCAACCAGCTAGTCAGGGTGTCTATACACCCCTCCCTACGTGGCTGGCTGGCTTAAACTAACTCTTATTTACGTGATTGACTGATGAAGCCATGCTTTGGTTTGACCACTACGTGCTAGCTCTTTTTTAACCTGATCCATCTTATGTCAGTCAGCTAACATTGTCCGTTGTCGAGTTAGGCGATCGATGACTAAGCTAGACTAGGCATACGTGACATATGTCCTAACCATCTTTCTCAATCAGTGCATCCACTTCACAACTCGTCGATTGATTTTCCCTCCTTACCTAGCACTCCACTGATGCCTCACGTCAATATTACTCACCCACCATATTATACAGAAGATAGAACGGAGACATCTATGATCAAAGACAGCCAGATAGCCAGGCATCTCATGTCTTCTACTCTCAATGGCCATGTCTAACTCACAACCACAAAGGAGGACGAAGTGAACTGCTAAGCAGTACACATGTCCTTTGGTCGATAGCCAACCGGATATCACGTCTTCTAAGCCAGGGATGGCATAAGTTGTTAGGAAATGCCAAACGAGCCTTCTGTCTTCGTGCTGAATATTCGTTAGCGATCAACCCACCAGGGCCAACTAGCTAGTGTAGTCAACTTCACACAACTATAACTCATAGCCTAGTTGTTCAAGGTATTTACAACAATACTTCATGCCTATAATCTTGAGAAATATCATATTTCCCCCCCACGCTTCACTATTCAGTGGCAAGTAAGCACTATTTGAAGTCGTTTAGATTAGTGAGTATACGGCATGTTTTGTGAGGTGGTGTGGTTCACTCGTCTATGCAGCCGAATTCCAACTAGCGATACGCGCATCCGGACCCCATCCCATCTATCAGGGTTTGGGTAGTCAGGTAGTATCACTAGCCCCACATATTTTTTGTATGTGTGCGAGGCGGGGGAGGCGTTGTCAACATTGTGAAATTAAAAGTGGCTATTGAGGGACGGCATATTTGATCAATAATAGTTTCCGATCAAATATACGCTCAGGATTAGATCTCTAATACAACTAACCAATCTGGCAACAGATTTGTATTTCTAAATACTTTCTTTTTTCAAATTTCCGGTTTCAGTTAATTTCCCTGTAGTATTCGTCACAAAACGAATACTGGATAGCGCTGTGTATATCACCAACAGAAAATGAAGACAAGAAGCCAGTAGTTAGAAGTTACTTAGAACTCAGTTATTACCCCCTGTTACAGATTTTTCATTTTTCGGGTTACCGATAAAGGCTGTCAGGATATATTACTCAGTATGAAGTAAAATTCTAACCCTCGGTCGGTTTTCGACATAAAACTTTGCACTGATGTGCGGCAGTTCAAGTCGCCACACTCCACTCCTTGTAGCACACAAAGCAAGAGAAGAAATGCATAATATAGACAGTAAACAGAGGTGAGACAAAGGAATAGTAATAACGGAGAACAAAACAGTTTAATTGGAAATCATAAGTCACAAGGAGTGGATGCATCTGTGCCACTGAGAACGATTTTGAGCCATGTCACCAATTGTTTCCAACCATTGGCTTTTACCGTCCCGAGGACCCCAATCAACCAGGAAGTCTGCATCTTCCTACGTGGCCTAGACTAACTGGTGCCATGTTTTCGTTTGACCGCTGCTAGCTCTTTTCCAGCCTGACCCTATATCAGCTAACATTGCCCGTTGTCGAGGAAGGCGATGACTAGGCATACGTAGCACATGTCCTAACCATCTCAGTCGATGTAATTTCACAGTCTCGTCGATTGATTTCCCCGCCTTACCTAGCACTCGAACCACTGAGCCTATATCTCAAAAGTACAAATGAATAATAAGAGAAAGGGAAGTTTAAACAAAAAGTAAGATTAAAGAGCCTGCCGGTCTCATGACTCAATTGTCTAATGAGTAGTGACACTGTTATGTTTGATACTATGGTTTGGCTCCCATAAACGACCAGATACGGCCGAGGTTGAGTAGGTAGGTTCCCATCTTCCTGTCTAAATGCTCTCACATGTGGCTACGCGTTCATAGCCAGGTAAGTCACATCGACTGCCTTCATACGGCTATGGGGAGGGGGTTACCCAAAAAAAGTGAAGCGGCGAATTCGAACATCTGGCGCTTCCAACTGAAGACTATTGGATATGCAAGTCTACCTAAAGAGGAGCAACCGAAAAGTCCTCATTCCAAACCTGCAGTGTGTACAGGGGCTCTGTAATCATCTCAAAAAAATCGAGTGGAGTGTATGGACCTCTTTTGGACAATACTGGTAACCATGGGGGAACGTAGCTCCTTACAAAATGTGCCACTCTGCCCTGTAGATCGGAATTCAAATTAAAGGCCTTGGGAGGGATCCTTAAGACAACCACCTTTTTCGGCCTGGGCAGTATTCCAGTCCTCCTACAGACTATGAGTTTTTGTGTGACGTACCCCCTGACGCCCATGATGTACCAAGTTTTGTTCTTATGATAAAATACACTGAAGTTGATCTGTTGGTACTTTTTTCAAAATATGTTCTCTTATCTTCATTATTTTTAGGGGCCTATTTCAAGAGGTAAACGTATGGCGGGTGTTATGGGCAATCGATATAGGCATGCACGTGGTTTAATGGTAAGTTGAATAAAGTATGGAAAATTTCCATGTGATATATCAGTTAGTAACACAGCTGTTTCGTCAGTCTAGTTCTTGACTCACTGACAGTACACGTACACACCGAGATATGAACCCCAGGACCTTCCAATTACAAAGTGAGCCAGCTCGTAGACCATTTTAGCCACTGGGACCCCATCCAATGGTTTTTTATTCCTTTACGTTCCCAGTGGAACATAGGGCGTCAAGCTAGAGGCTTGAAGTTCCGGTAGCAATGGTGTTTATTTTTATAGGGTGGGGTTGTTAGCCTCATGCCCCGGCTTCCCTCTTTACCAGTCTTATTACTGGCTTAGTGAGGTAAAGGAGTGCGTCCATTGGCCGGGAATCGAGCTCGGGACTACATGCGTGGTTGGCAAGCACATTCTATCTCTGTGCCACCGACGCACACCCTATCCAGTGACCAGTCCATGAATTCCAACTCCTGTCATTTCATGATATGTGTACTCAGCGCAACCGCCAACCGATGTTGTTCGCGAGTAATTGTTCTCCTAACAGACTAAGTGGACCCCGCTAGAGCCCCAGGTTCCCTCGTGTATAGATTCTCCAATGGGTTCTCCAGCTGATGTCAACTCATGATCAATCCTCTAACCAATCAAATAAAAGAAGGTTGGGTATGAGGTGAGCAATCTCATCCCGTAGAAAGTGAGCACCACTGCTACTGAATCTTCAAAGCTCCAGCTCGAAGTCCTGCTTTCAACTAGGAACGCAAAGGAATGAAATAATTCTGAAAAATAATAATAAATGGGGATTGATATCGGGGAAATCACAAACAGTGAATGCATCTGCACCAACTATATCACTAAAAGTCTCCAACCACTGATTCCTAGATTCTCCACTCAAGGGCTAGCCGTCACAGAGTGCGATGTCATTCGACGGTCCCCCCAGTGTGTCCAGTCCATCTCCATTCTCTTCGTCACATTTATTGAGCAATAGGTTCTTCCCTGTTGGTTCGTTGATTGCCGGAGTTTCTTGTTGCTAATTCTCCCCAACCAACCGACTGGCCATCTGATCTTCAGTATGGAGCCAGAGAAGACAGCTGTTGATAGAAGTCTGCAGTGATTTGTTGAAGTACGTTTCATGACACGCTGGCCAATTTTCTGATCCACATAGAAGAATTGACTAACTCATTGACTTGACACTTGCGTTGAACAGAATCCGAATGTTGTTCTTCATATGCTGGCTGGCTGAGTGAATGCAGACGATCTCCAAATCGACTACTCAGATTGGTGAAGGCGTATCTTGCCTTTCCAATTCTGGCTGGCTTTGACAACCTCATCTGTGCCGTCTGCCTTTCAGTTGAAATGATGTTGACTAGCCAGTTGAGTGAAGGAAGTGACCTATTCAACTTCATCTCCTGTCGTTAAACTCCGTATTGGTGCAGGTGATTCCTGTGGGTGCATAGCATTGTATAACTGACACTTTCCTTCCTTTGGAGTTGAATCTGGTGGTCATAATCCTGGGTGAGATCGCATCCCATTGCATCAGTGCCTTCGTTGCCGTTGGTGACATCATGATAGCCACGCCCTCGGTGTGTGTGTGGTTGTCTTCTGGGTGACCGGAATAGATCACTGACTCTCCCGTTGACAATTTGGTGAGTCCATTCCCGTTCCATCTGCTTTCACATATTCCCAGTACTTGAATTCCGTATCTTTTCATCTCGTTTGCAATCTGGGAAGCTTTGCCAATCTCGTACATGGTGCGGACGTTCCATGTCCCCACACAAACGTTTTCTTCTGGCGCAAGGAGATTCATCGTGCTGATTCCTGTAGCATCATATTAAATCTGACGGGAGAATTTCATACCGAACATACTAATGTAACACCAGAAGACAAGACACGGAAGCCAAGGTATATTTTCAAGTGTCCGAACAGCTATTTATATATCCATACAGTTTATATTCTTTAACTAATCACTGAACGTGTGAGATTCTGGTTTACGTTAAACGACATGAAATAGAATGTTCAAATACAAATATATGTATAGTATTCTGTCGCTAATGCACTATTGAACTGTGGGAATAGTATTCAGACGTTAACACCAACAAATACAATAATGATTCTCACTGTCAGAATAATAATAATAATTAATAATTATAATTTGCTTTATTCCAGAAACAGTACTAGTGGTACAGTGTGGAATTTTCAGCACATATCTACAATATTTGCATCTAATTTTACGGACATTTAAAATAAGTATTAAACAAACAAAAAAAATAAATCTGAAGACACCAACAGCAAAAAAAACAAAAAAAAACAGGATAAACACAAAATAATTATAAATGCGAAAAAGTATCAAAGTCTACCAAAGTCTAATGCAGTGTTTGTGGTGGTAGTGTGAGTAATCCTGAATAATATAAGATTTTTAAGGTGGTGACTATGGCGTTCACAACCAATGATTGTCAGTTTAATATTGCCAAAAAGTATAGAAAATAACAAAAAACAGCCACAAAACTAATATTACATGATGGTTAATGACAGGACAATTTTGTAATACTCATAGTGCTAATAGAGTCGGAACCAGTGGATACACAATAGAAGGAATACAGTAAAGTAGAAAAAAAGGAAGCCAATGTTAATATTTAGGTAGCTAAGTATGTTTGAGAAGGAGTTCACTAAAGAATACAAAATAAGAGAGAAATAAAAGAGCCTAAAATTATGTTGTTAATAACAGAGCAAGTCATAAGTTTCACGCTTAACATTGTCTCTGTATTCCGTTGGAACCCCATTGTCTGTATCGCACCACTCTACAGCAAGACTTCTGCTAAAGATTTCCTGGAAATTAATAATTCTAATACTTTTCTCTTCTTCTTTTTTTCTTATCATACTAATTCTAACAACAACAACAACTTTAGATATTGAGAATTAATCCAAAACTTGGATTGATATATGTACCAGGTCCAACACCCGGGCCAGTGCATGCCTATTCACTTTTACACGATTCTTGGTTAAAAAATCGTCGACGTCAACTGGACGCTAATCCACCACCAGTACCAACATATCTGCCTTCTTGTATTGTAGACGAAGCTGCTGCCGCTGCTAATGGTTCAGGTATACTAGATCCAACTATTTGTGTCGATATTGATGATGATTTCGAGCAGGATATCTATCATGAATCCATACATCCAAGTCATTACCCGTCTATTTCATATTCAGAAGACTCTTAAGGAAATTCAATCAATAATAGTAATAATAATAATAATGTTGTAATTACATATACATGCATACACACCATCCTTTCTCGTTTCGTGTTTTTCACTAATCATCACTGAAGTTCCTTATTATTATTAATATGTCACTATCAATCACGGAACGATACCGTCATTCACCATTCGAGTTGAACCGGTCGCCTTCGTTTAACTTTCCATTGTTCTAATGAACCTTTCATCATCACAATATATTCCAGCCTTCCTAACTCCTTGCACATTCCGAGTGGAAGTTTCAGTAGCAGGTTGTGTTGTTTTCAAGGAATGAGCTCGCGCTAAGATCACATCCGACCGCCCCCCCCCCGCCTTCCTCGTATTCGAGCCTACCACAGACTAGCAAACTAGGTGCGGTCCCGGAGGAGTTTGTAGGCCAGCAGTCGAATCCGGTCCGGAACACGTGCGCGCTTATTCAACAAGTATTCTATCATGAAGCAAGCCACCGATGATGCACTAGTCTACTAAAAATCTGAAAGTAGGGTGAAAGCGGTTGTTGTTCTATGTTCACATAAAGGGATCCTTACATTTATACGTGACCATAAAAAAATATTGAAACTTAGGCATATTAAACCAAACTTATTTCTGTGAATATGCACTGACTAATTTTTACAGATAATAACGCTTCTAACTTTACCCTTAAACAACACACACTTGAAAACTTGCCAAGAATGTTTCGTAGACATCATCTAATCACAACTATGGTGTTGTGTAGTGATGAATACATAGGCATATAATAAGGTAATGTTCCGGATTCTAAATAACTCGGTGGTCTTGAATCCCCAATATTTTCTAAGTCCATATCGCATCATGATGATATAAGAGTAGTTCATGGAAATTAACTCAACATAATAAATTAGTCAGAAGGATTAGAGTATACCTGGGATTTTGATGTGGTTGTGTTCTCTGAGCTGGATGGTTAATTTGTGAAGCTTTCATCACCCTACTAGGTGATATCTTCAGCGCATACTTCAATTCGATAAAGTGAGCTTTTAGATTTCTCTACGAGTTTATTAGTCATCTTTCCTGATGGGTCACCTTGAACGAGATTGGTTGTTTTTGTGTGTTTTCAAACCTTCTAGGCTACTTGTATTGGAACTAATTGTTTCTTTGACTTGAACTTTGACCCTTTGTGTGTGAGGTTTCTTTCTTATCGGTTGATAAATTTTGTCTGTCTCGATGTGTCTATTGATTGATGATTCACTGGAATGCCAAGCTTCTAAAAATTCTCTAGCATTCTTGTTGTTCCCTCTGTCTAATATTTGAACGTTGTCCCAGTCTAATTGATATCCGTGGTTGTCTGTATGTGGTGATATGAGGGAGTGGATATCATGTCGTTTGACGGCTAGCTTATGTTCGTGGATACGAAGACGAAGGGGACGTCCACTTTGGCCAATGTAGTGTTTTTCGCAGTTGATACAATTTATTTTGTAGATGATGTTGGTTTTATCTTCTAGGTGGGAGTGCTGCAATGAGTCCTGGCCCTCTTGAATAGTGTTTGTATGCAATTCCTTTTGTGTGTTATTGGATTGTTTCTGTTGTAATTCAGTATTTGGTCTGTGTGAGTTGATTTTCTATAAACTTGGGTTTCTAATTCCCCCGTGGTTGTTCGCTTGACTAAGACGTTCAAAAATGGGATTTTGTTCTCGGATTCCTCTTCTCTTGTGAATTTGATGTCGTTGAAGACGTTGTTTATCAGGTTGTGAGTTTTATCTAACTCGTTTCTTTTGATTATTACAAATGTGTCGTCTACGTAACATATCCAAATCTTGGGTTTGATCTTTGGTAGGATTATATTTTCCAGCCTTTGCATCACTGCTTCTGCAATCAAACCTGATATTGGCGATCCCATGGGTGTTCCTTTGACTTGTTTTATATATTTGGCCGTTGAATTGAAAGTACGTTGTTAGGCATAGGTTTATGCATCCCATCCAGCTTGTGTGTTGCATTTTTGATTGTTGTGGGAGGTGTTCGTCGTTGCTGAGTAATTGTTCCATGGTCTTCTTTGCTAGTTTTTGTCCGATTGAGGTATATAATGCTGTGACGTCGAAGGATATCATTATTTCTTGTTCATCTATTTGGATGCCTTTGATTTTCTCTAGAAATTGGATAGCAGAGTTGATGGAGTGATCACAAGATTCCGTTAGGTGTTTCAGTTTTCTGTATAATTCTTTGGATAAATTATATGTTGGAGTTCCTGGGAGTGATACAATTGGTCGTAATGGGATATTTGGCTTGTGTATTTTGGGTCTGCCGTAGAATCCGGGTAGGACTGGTCCGTTATGTTTCATTCGCCATTGGTATTGTTTTGTGATCTGTCCAGTTTTGGTAAGCTTGTTTAAGGTCCTTTGGATGCGGCTGTCCAATGTTTCTATGGGAGTTGTTGATATACATCCTCGTCTTTGAGTGGTTCTTCAGCTTTCTTGGTGTGTTCTTTTCTGTCCATGACTACCGTTGGTCTTCCTTTGTCGGCTGGTAGAATGACGATGTCTTTCCTATTTCTCAGCTTTTTGAGGACCTTTAGTTCTTCAGAGTTGAGTTGTGTATGTTGTTTTTTCTGTTTGACCATTGGTACAATTGTTTGGCATATCTCTTCCTGTGTTTCCTCGTTCAAGTTTGATGATTTGTGTAATGATTCAAGGGCAGCGAAGAAATCAGTTTTCGAAGCATCTCCGGTGTCGTAGTTTAATCCTTTTTGTAGTACTTGTTGTTCCATTTTTGATAGTGGTTGTTTTGATTGGTTGACTACGCAGTCTATAGGTGTATTGTCCGGCTGTTGTTTTCTAATCTTGGCTAGCTTGGTTTTAAGGACTCTTCGTCTTTGTTCTCTGTGTTTTCTACTTGACAATGTAATTGCGGTGATCAGCGTTGACAGACAGGTGTTCCTGGTTGAGGGTTTTCTCTAGTTTTTTCTTTTTGGACATCTACTATTTGTTGATTATCAACAAATAATAGACAGTGATGAATACATACACATATATTATAAGGCAATGTTCCGGATTCTAAACAACTCGGTGGTCTTGAATCCCCAATATTTTCTAAATCCATATCGCATCATGATGATATAGGAGTAGTTCATGGAAATTAAGTCAACATAATAAATTAGTCAGAAGGATTAGAGTATACCTGTCTGGGATTCAACAACGCGCGAAATAGCAAAGCAAGTTTGTTCCCCGGTCCATCTGGGTTAATTTGACAAATTATTTAGACTTAACAGTCAATTACAAATTAGTACTAGAGGTCATTTAAGAAGCTCTGAGAACACGACGTGCAAACAGACATGTATATTTAGCAAGCACCAAAAGATGCGCGCCACACATAAAGGATATAGAAATAGAGTGAATGCGGGACAACATCCAGAAGGCGGCAAGCAAGTATAACTATATATCACTAACATTCAGAGGATGGATGCAAATTATATGGTATGTTCGCCGTCGATTAAGATTCTTTCTTCGCCATATCTGATGATAACGTCTCGAACAACTGATTAGGATTATTTACCGGACCTCAACCTTGGTAGTCGTAATGCACCAACAGATGAGGATGATATGCTGACACAGCTATCCTCCATCCTATGACACCACTTCTTAGACTGTCTACCTCTCTCTCCTCACTCTTTCCATCCAGAACTAGTAAACACAGAGTGTTATGAGAGTTGCTGGATTGACACTCACAGTACATGTCCAAGTCACTGAAGCTACGGTTCCAAGATGACAATATTTAATAGAAGACGATCTCAAGTGTGTGATCTCAAATGAAGTGACCTGGTGGAAGCGTTTCTATGGAGGCGGCGGCAGTGACCGAATACACATTGTTGTTGCACATCTTCGGTCAGGTTTGACAGACGTAAAGGGGACAATGTGCACCGAAGCATTGTAAACCAGATTCTTGGCAGTAAGTCGCACCCTAACTCAGGAGTATACCGCCCTGGCTTTCACTATACGAACTAGCGATCTCATCCGTCAGTACTTACACAGATACACGAACTTATCGACTACTTCTAACTGTTTACCTGTGGAGTGAGTGTTTTGCGCAGGCTCCTGCCAATCTTGCGTATGGCTTAAGTGTGCAAACCATACTTACAGACTCTGACCATCAATTCTATATGCGATTTGGGCAGCATGTAAGTTATCACACACTAAGACTATGTCGTATACATGCCCGAAGTCAAAATGTCCCTCTCCAAGCACCAGAACTACAACCACCATGCACAATCCTTCACAGATCTGTCTCCAGAATATCACATGTCCAAACATATCAGAATGTAGTGTACACACCACATCAATCCGCAGCCAAGTGCAAGCTAATCAAGACAAAAAGATTTTAGAAAATAACATAATATCTACAGTGATCACTTTTGTTTTACAAATCATGTACTGTAACAGAAAGTAGTGTTTTTTTAAGAAAAATGTATTGAAAAGTATTGCACAATAAAATTTGATAGACGGCGATCGAAGTCCATTGGGTGGCTAGGAGGAAATAGTAAACTGTTGATAACTGTAAGGACCAAATCTATTAATAGGTAATACATAGTCTGAAGGCAAGAAGCCCCGACTGCCTAAGGGAAGCGTTGGTGCACACGGTCCTAGCAGACAGGGAGTTAGATTGCCCCAATCTCCTCCGTTGCGAGTATTCTCCCCCTTCGATTCTAAGTACTTGTTTTGTATATGGAAATCTACATTGCCTATATACTCAGCCGAAACATAGCATGGCATTGCTGAGAACTGTGAAGACCAAATTATTCGGTTACCATGGTCTGAACGTAAGAAGCCGATCTCACAGGAGGATAATAAATAATCTTAAAATTCTATTCCAATTCACGTACATCATAATATTCTAGCAAGTTACTTATTTTGACTATAATAATACTCGTCTTATTTCCCATCTGATTGAATTTGATCAATAACACTCATATTACTATTGTTTCTGAATGTACATTATCTTATATTGATTTTATTCAAATGTCTAGTCATCAATACCACTCAT